CATACGAATGAAATTTGCTCTTGCAATTATAATCTGTCTCTTGACTTCTGCCTCACATTTACCATCTTCAGTTATTAGTTGCCACACGTAGACAAACTTGTCCACTTGTTCTGTTGTGTGACCATTCACTTTGATGTCAACTAACTTTTTGTTTTACATCTCTCCTCACAACCATGGTTTTTTTTCTTCTTTACATTAATACTCAACCCATTCTCTAAACTTCTACTCACTAAGTCCATTATTCTTTGTAATGCTTCCTCTAACTCTGCCAGTAGCACTGTATCATCAGAGTACCCCAGTGCCACTATATTAACACCTCCTATTCCTATTCCTGGGAGCTTATCTATCTCTCTAAATGTCCGTTCTTTGTAATGGTTTAATAGTAACCTCGGCTTATGCCCTGCTCATCAGTGAAAGTATCTGACTGACCTTCTTCTAGATGAGTACCTGCTTTTTACTTTCAGTACAGGTTCTCAATGAAGCACACATCTCTACTGTCTACATCACACTTGGTTAACACATCTATTATCTTTTGATGGTACACCCTGTCAAAAGCCTTTTCATAATCAATGAAGCATTTATATATATATAGATATATATGCTCTTGCTCACTTCCAGGTAGTTATCAAAGACTCAATCTTCCTTCTCTTTGCCTATAACTGCCTAAATCTCGACTGAGTGTCGCTTATCTCTGCCTCTAAAATGGTCATATTTTTCTCTATCATGATTTTCAGAATTACATTCATGAGATGATTCATCAAGTTTATGATTCTGTATTGACTACATTCTACTGCCTTTTGCTTTTTTGGTAACTTTATTAAATAAAGAGAAGCTTAAATCACCAGATCTTTTAATCTTTTCATGTAAATTTGTTATTATCTTTAACTCTGACTCATCCAGGGCTTTTAGGTGTCCTGTCGTTACTTCACCGATAACTGGTGCTTTTCCGGTTTTCATTATATTTTAGTGCATATATAACACTTCCTCCTTCATAATCCTTGGAGCAGTGTCTCCCTATATCACTCTGGGTTCTCTATGATTAGGGGCATCATACAAGTCACTTAAACATTCTGTCCATTTCCTGGGCACAGCATCTCTTTCAAAAATAATTTTTCCATCCTTATCTATGATATGTCCACTGTCTGTCCTGACATCCCTTTTCTATCAATCAATGATTTCACCTTTTAATGCATGGCTCTGATCTCATGGTTCTTGTCAAGCTCTAAGACCTCATCGCATATCTCATTATACAATTTTTCTTTTGCTTCCTTACATGCTTTCTTAATTTTCTTTCCAATTTCATCATATTCTGAAGTATTTTTTCTCTCCATCATCATCAATAGTATGCCATCTGTCATCCAATCTTTGTCTTTTCTCTTGACACATTTTGTAATTCTTTTTTCTGAAGGATTTCTAATGCTTTCTTTTATTTTATTGGTTTTTTTTATCTCTTGCTTCACATCCTTTACTTGTTCGATTTCTTCCCTGTACGAGGGACTCATATTTGTTACTGACCTCTAAAGTACAGATTTTCTTAATATCTTCATGTTTAAGTCTGTTTGAATTTTCTTTTTCTTTAAGATTTTGACTTTAAGCTTGATTTTTGCCACAAGCAGGTTATGATCCGAATTTACATCAGCAACAGGATAAGTATGAATATTCTTTATACAGTTTCTGAAGCACTACTTTACTATCACAGGTATTATTTTAAAAGTAACTAAAATGTAAAAAAAGGAAACTTTTTAGGTTAGATTAGGTAAAATAAATAATAATAATAATAAGATAATAAAAATGTTTAATGAGGCATGCAAGCAGCTCAGAGTAGCTTGTGGATAATGTAATTTGAGAGTCACACATTCCCCAAGTGATTTACAACTTATAATGGCACGAATAGTAGTTAGGCATGGTTCAAAGGGGCAATAAAATAATAAAATTTAGTTTCATGTTACAATTTTAAGTCATTCTAGAAAGAAAAAAAAGGGTAATTTAGATTTATTTCGATCTTTTTTGTTGGTTATGAGGTCCATCAAATTGACCAACCTTGTATAGAGTTAGAGTAGAGAGAATAACAAATAAAATGTAAAGTTTTATTGAAAAAAAAAACGTTTGAAATGTATTGAGGAGGTTTTCAAGATCAAGCAAATGAAACTTGAGATTTTTGAGATCAAGTATTTTTAATCTTAACATGAAAATCACTTTGCACTTGGACTAGTAAAAAAAAAAAGACTGGATATATTCATGGACAAATCTTTATTAAAAATACTTCACGAAAAAACTGATTCTTTTTATGTAAAAGACATGTAATGTTTACTGAAAGTCTGTCAAATTTTGTTATACACATACTATGTTAAAAGTTAATAGTATCGAAATTATAACGAGTACAAAGTGGTTGGTCAAATCAACAGAGCCCGTGTTGAGTGTGTTAATATATGCGAGGGATTGTGTGTAATTCGCTAATATGCAAAGTATACCCTACATAAAAAAATCCTTTTTTATAAAGAAAAATATTCATCATTACTCATTACCACATAGTACATTTTACACCAAATCAATAAAGGTACTAGTTTCCAGCTTGGAATAAGAAACATTAATTTAATGAAATGCTCATAGGCTTCTTAGTTATCTGACATACTTGTATCCCCTTTATCCACAACGTTGTAAATTTCTCTGTTACTTCCGTTGGTGAACACATGCCAGATGGCTCGACAAAGATCTGTCACATGAATTGTATTCATTTTCATGTCTTTCGTCCAGAGTAACTGTGATAAAAATTTGTCCTTTTTTAAAAGAAATAATGGTAGCACTGAGAAAAACCTCACTTAACTTTATAAAAACCACATTAATTTATACAGTAGTCCCCCCTCTTGAGTGACAAACTTATGATTCACATTAATATTGGTCTTTCCTCAGGTGGAGGTGGAGCTTCTAGATTGAACTAATCATAGAATGGCATGGCTAGATGAATAAAGAAGTTAAGATTACAGTAATTACTTTGATATTGCATATAAATTGTTGTAATGTATGTATGTATGTAAGGTTATTTTATTCTACCACACAATGCTGTATACTGTACAGTACATATATAAAAACAATGCATAATAAAATAAGAGAGAAGATAAAATGTCATACATTATCATAATCTGTGAGTTTAGTCTATTTGATTTGATTTGCACAAAGACTTCTCAATGGCATCCTTATTCTTACTGACATAGTCCAGCAACTCGGGATTTTGATGAGCAAGTGTGAAGTCTAAACTGTTCCAAATATCTCACACCTGTTCCCGCAGACACAACTGGTGTTGCTAAACTGTCATTTTCTTCCTTCTCATCTGAAGGAAGAGTAGAAGTTTGGCCTCTGGTATGAGCCAGAATCTTCTTCTCCCAGTCTGCCTCTATAGTTTTGTTAATGGCAACAAAGTTTTCATACTCTTTCCAGGTAATATCACAACTCCCCACAAAGGCTACATGATCGTCTTGAACTTCAGGATTGTCTTCTTCACCATTTTCAGGCAGATCCTCTGAAAAAACACACTTGGTAAAATATTTCTGAATTGTTGTAGATCGTACACTATCCCATGCACTCTTTAACCAAATAATAGTGTACAGCACATTAACATTCTTGGCCAAATCAGTTGCACATGTGGCTTCATTAACATGAAACAAAATATGTCACATTAGCACCTTCCTGTAGTGCATTTTCTTGTTTTTTTTATTAAAAAAATGTTTTAAACTGCTACGGACAACATCAGGGTAGGTAGTACAATTGTCCACAAACAATAAAATAGAGTGATCTTCAACTCTCACTTTTCTATTGAACGTGTCAAGCCACTGCTGGAATAACTCGCTGGTCATCCATGCCTTTGAAGCAACAAATCTTAGCAATGTTCCCTATGACGAAGGGTGCTAAGCTTTTCTCCAGGTGCAGAACATGCCAGCAAAACACTGACTTCTTACCTCCCTTGCCTTGTCTTCCTTAACCTCCATTAAGTGTGAGGGTAAAGCTCTATAGAAGAGACCATTAAACATGTCTTCGAGCCTGTAGCTAGTGCATATAGACTTGAGATGTTTGTCTACAACAGCTTCTCATGACTAGCAATGTGCACGTTGTGGCACTTCTGTCCAGCCATCCATTAGAACAAGAAATGATCAAGATTTTCTGAATACATCAATGCTCTCTCTTGAATCATCCTGCCACTGACAAGGATGTTCTTTGCCCTGGCTATAGTGAACCATTCCCAGACGATCTTATCTAAGTCTTCATAGCCTGCTGTTCTAGGCTTATTGAACTTTCTGTCTGAGCACTTCTTCAAAATTTCTTCTCTTTCTTTCACTATATTCCAGATTTGCATTTTTTCAACTCCGACTTCAATTGCTATTACACAGCAAGGTTTCCCTTCGTCAGCCTTCTTTAGCACAGTTACTCTCTCTTCCAGAGTCAAAATCTAATATTTCCTAGACATTGCAGATGGTAGTATTCAATCACGACAATCGACAACGAGTCTGAGAGACAAGTACTTTGCACATGCATGTGAAATTTTACCATGCAGGTGCTCATGTGAGATAAACAATCATTAATTTTATTCATTAAAACTGGTCAGTGTTCTCAGGGTGGTAATTGACAGGGGATAGTAAACAGTGTAGCTGCAACCGTACTCTGGTATAGTGGTCAGGGATGAAGGATTATTGCTGACCAGGGTGTCTTTCAAGAGGGGGACTACTGTATCGATAAATTTCAAAATTATCTGATCAAAACTGAAAACGTGCTCTTAATACTAAAAATTCTATCAAAGTATCATTCAAAAATTGCAATGACCTTATAATTTTAGAAGTCACTATATTTTACACCTTCTTTCTGAAATAAAAACTTCCATATGATTAAAAAATAAGATATTTCAAAATACCAGCTATTTTAAATTTACTATGAAAACTAAAATTATGATCACAATTAAATAGTGATAGTATATGTTTATTTTGGCTAAATCCCTTCCTGCTAACTACCAATACTGCCTACAAAATTTTAGGGTTAAAAGCTACTGGAACTTAAAAGGAAATATTTCTTTGACTTATCTTTACCAAATATTAATTATGAGCTGAACATTAGAAATGATACTCAACCAAACTTGAAAGACTTCTATCAGGTACATTAGATCATGTATTATTCCTATGGTATTAAATGGTATCACGTTTTTCTTAATTAATCTCTAAGGCATAAATAAATTGGTTTTAAATTACAAGATAGTGAATGTTACATACAAAATACTTGTTCTTTTGTTTATCTTCATTTCATATTGATAGGCCACTAACCTAATTCAAAACATTTTTAAAAGCTTATATATATATATACATATTAATTTAATGTAAGCTCTTAATAATAAAACCTTACCTTCATCATTTCTCCCAGATATTTGTAGACTGCTCCAACAATTAGTCTTGGAGCTATAAAAGTAACAATATTTATTTAAATATTATTAAAGATACTGAAACCTATATAACATATCACACTTCTTGCCTCAGGGGCTCAAGCATGCACATACAGACATTTTAAAAATACCTCAGGATTATTAAAAGTAATAAGTAAGCAAAGCAGCAGAGTAATTTCACACGTGGTTAAAAGCCCCTCTTCTGAATCTAAGTGTCAATATATTTGTTTCCAGCACATACAAAAGAAACATAGTAGTAAAGGAAAAACAAGTAAACCTGTTTTCACAGTTAGATCAATTAGTATAAAAAACATACAACACATATATACTGAATACACCGTTCATTTTTAAAGGTTACATGACCCAGACTAATATAATTCTCTATATTACAAAGTTTAATCAATTTAAGGTCATAAAATCAAATGTTCAGAAATAAATTTTCACTATACGTCTATACTCTACAATACAAATTTTCATTAATTTCATATTATACGGAAATAATAATAATAGTAATTTATGACAGTGACAATAATTTTAAATAATTTTTTTCACCACGTACATTTTTAATCTATCTTAACTTACTAATGCCTTGTTTATCCCCTATCCCGTACACAATAGCAGGTCGTAGAATAACATAGTTGAGATCAGGAATATTAGCTAGTTCTTCTTCTACCATTAGCTTAAACCTTGCCATAAACGTCCAAGGATCTAGCTTGCTTGTTTCTTTTGCAGGTTTCTACAACATGCACACAGATCATATAAATCACAAATATTAAGCAAAAATAACATTTTAAAAGTGCCATTATAATCATTTGTGTTATGCGAGTGAGAGAGAGATCTAAATTGTTATTTAACAAGAATGATGACAAGCTTATATTCTGAAGTTGAATAATGACTTTAAAAATACATGAAGTATGTAGACTGAACAAGTAACTAATAAAAATATCCACTGTGTAATAATTTTTTAGCCATCTACAATTTCTATGATATAAAATAAACTATGTTTGCTACACCAAAATTTGTACCTTAAGCTTATATACACTTCCACTAGTTTTGCAGGAACTAAGGTCCCTTTTAAACAAGTATTAAAATTAATCTTACCAAATTACACAATTTTACTTGTCATCACACATTACAAGTAATGTTTGCAATATTCTAAACTAATGTTAATTTTTTTGTGTTCCAAAAATTGCAGTCTTTAATTCTATAAATACAAAATTTATCATTCTACTTTTAAGCCAATTTCTGCTCTATTAATCTATAACTTTTTAGGTCATTTTTTAAAAAATAAAATAATAAAGAGTATCAGAACAAATAATAAACAATTCACTTTGCACGCCTGACTTTCTCCTTGAAATTTATGTTATAAAGTTATAAAAACACAAATTGTTTATCATAAAATAACACAATATTGTGTGTAGTAGTTAGAAAACAAAAAACCCACAGTAAAAAGAACAAATTGTGAAAAAAATCTTGATATTGGAGAAACTAGTTGACACATTCATGTGCCCTCTTCAGTCTCACATTGTTTTTTGGCACGAAAACCGGTCAACAATGTCTAAGTGACCCTGGAATTTTGAATTCCTTTAAGTACACAGAAAGCTGTTTAGCTTAAAGTGACCTTCAGAGGTGTTGAAATTCAGCAGGATTTTGATTAAATAACTTTCAACAATTCTTCTTTTTATGTAATTATCTGTTTTAGAATAAGATTCTTGTTCATTTCCAGTCCATCTGATGGCCAAAATCTCTAATATGAAGAAAAATAACATTGTTTGCATTTTCATATTTAATGTCTTTTTTCTATGTTCAGAAACTTGTGTCAACACTTCTTCCAGTTTCACATTCACAATTTTTATCACAGGATTGGCATAGTATAAATATCTTGAGACTGAAGAGGTCACACGAATTTGTCGAAATTTCTGACAGTTTGTTCCATTTAGCATTGTTTTTTTTAAACAAATTATTTACCTTCTCATTAGAATGCATGTATCCTGATGACAGTTCTACATATTTCTTAACTTTTCTTTTGGCTGCTTCTTTGGCACAGTGAATGCTCAATTTCACAATACCTTCCTTATAAACCTGCAGTGAAATATTAGGTTTGTTAAAAAACAAAATGCAGATCCAATGTACTTTTTCCTTTAATATCAGAGAGTTATGCATTGTGAGGTCCTATAATAATCTAATCAACATCACCTTAGGTGTGAAAAAAAAAGTGCAGCCAAAAAAGGATTCAGCAAGTGACTTCAAAGAATGAAATAAAAATTGTCAGCCACACAGGTAGCTACACTTACAGCATTGATAAACATTTTACAGCAAATATTCATTCATTAGTTAGCCAGGTTGCATTTCTTGTTCATCTCTGGACATGATGATGGGTAAAACAAAATATGTGACCTAGCTAACTAATGAATGAATATTTGCAGTAAATTTCTTATCAGTGCTATAAGTGTAGCTATCAGTTTGGCTGCCAATTTTGATTTCATTCCTTTAAGTTACATGCTGAATCCTTTTTTGGCTGCACCTTTTTATTACATCTAAGGTGTTTTTGATTAGATGTCATGACTTTTTTTCAATACATACCAACAAACCACAGCAAGTAAGAATATAACCAACTCAATAGTAACCAACATTAGCTTTAAGATCGTAACTCTATTATTTGAAACAGACCTTTACTCTACAGAACCAACCAGCATACTTGCCAACTCTCACGATTTGGGTGGGAGTTTCCCGAATTTGAACCTTTGATCCGATTGGTAGATAGGGTTTTTTCTAACAATTTTAGGGATGTACACCAACTTTTTCTGGAAATCTACTGATTTGTGTAATTATAATTAATTGTTTCTTACATTAAAAATTTCCAGATAAATGTCAGCCAATTGTTGGCACTCTATGGCAAAACCAGTTGAGAAAACACATGATTCATACCAGAAATCAGGCTTCACTTTCTTTTTGGCCAAGAAAAACTGACTATACAAGTAAGACATATTTATCATTCTAAACCAAGTGTGATTATTCACTTGCTTGTAAATTGCTTGATTTGCCACAAGTCGCACAAAATCTCTCCCATGAAAATTTTGAAAAGTTGGCAAGTATGAACCAGATTCTTTAAAATATATAGTGGTAGGTTTTCCTTTCTAAAACAATGTTAATAGCTTCTTTTATAGTAACACCATGGAATTTAGACTAACAGTTTTTCGTCATCACCCTCATGCAATTGGTACAGCTGTATCAAGCATAATTATTTATGCTAATTGCTTAAGCTAATATCACATGATACTAAACACTCTTTAATTAGGATAATTTCATAAAATTGAGTAAATTTATATTGAAAAGTTGGCAATGAATAATAAGCATCCAGCAATATGATTCTTTTGAAAACTTGAGATAAAAACTGCTAATCTAGTTTGCTTGGCCTAACCAATACTTATGTATCTGCATGTCCTTTCACCTTATAGTTTTGATGCTTTAAATCAGCTGTCTTTAATTCGAAGAATAAAAAACTAAAAATGGTCCACTTTTACTCTTAGGTGAAGCTGTAGTAAAAACGTTAAACAGATAACTCATGTGACTTTTTGCATAGGTGTGTGCAAAAATTTTCATAAAATCTGAGTGGTTTTGTTGAATAATTTTGCATATATGGCTTATATTTACACCAAGTGAAACTCCTAATCGTAGGTGTTAAAGATCCATCAGTGTACCAAATTTAAAAACAAAATCCATTAAAGTTAAGTATGTTTTCTTATCAAATAAACTTTCTGTACTTTCAGTGCAAATAAAAAAAAATTAGGAAGAAACTCAATTAAAATTGGAGATGTTATATCTCAGATATTTCTTAATGGATTGCCTTGAAATTTGGTATGTGAAGTAAGAGTCCAGTAAGAGCACAACTGCTGAAAATATGCGATAGTTTGGATTACCACAAGCCAAGCTACAGAAAGTGGAAAATTGCTACACTATCACTCCTGTTAATAACACACTATGTGTCCTGCATGTTGTTTTTTTGGCTGCAAGATGCATGGTAGTGTGTCTTGATCTCAGGTTTTAAACTTAGTGGAAAAACAATTTGTTTATAGAACTAATGTATATACATTATAATTGCCACCACTCCCTTGAAATAAAAATGGTGGCAAAAATGATTTCAGATCACTCTAGATGATCCTTTGATACAGAAGACTATTCTTCATGATGTTCACAATCAGTCAAGCAGTTTTTATCAAGGTAAAAATTAAAAACATTTTTTGTAAAAAGATATTTTACAACTTACTTTCTGTAAGATAAAGAAACACCCTTTTTTATTTATAAAACAAACACAGTAGTTATAAGACTAGTTCATACTGACACACACAGAGTGAAAAGAACTAAGTATCTTACTACAATCTTCATCTTGTACACTTACAGGATCTGACTGTCCGGACTTGGTTTCGGCAGCTAAGTTTACAACAAAGTCATATTCTCCCTCAGGGTCAGTGAAGGCACTCTGACAAGATGCTGAAATATCAAAATACTACATTAATTCCATACTATGGTGGTACATATATACATGTGCATATCCATGTGAAAGAAACAAAATCAGAAATTCCTTATCATCAAGAAATATCTAATAAATTATGTTTGTATTCTCAATAACCACACACACATATATATATACACACACACACATATATGTATATACATATAATGCATGGAAAATCATTACTCAAATCTAACAAAAAAAATTAAGAGAAAATCAACACATCAAGAAATTTTACATTTTAACATATGAATAGCCAGTACACAAAAGAAACATGGCAAACAGTTTTATTTGTTAATGTCTATCATCACAATTTATTTTCATGTTTTTGTTTAATAAGAGAATTTAAAAATCTATGGGAATTTCTTTCACCATTACTTTTTTCTCACATTTTCTTTCTATGCATTACATTTCTGTCTGACTATACTTGTTTAGTCCACCTTTGGGTTTTTTTATATCTTTTTTCAAGAATCTCTTCATGGTGCTTTCTTTTGTGTATATGTACGTGTACATTTTTTCTTCCTCATTTCAAAATTATTTAGTTACCTATTTCTTTAAAAAACACTGAAGAAAAACCAAGAAAGATGCATCTATAATAATACAAGAGCATGTCTGTGTGTGACCATCATTACTCCAAGAGGAAAATACCTAAAAACCTAATATTTTGCACCCATACTAAGTGGACCCTGAGCGTGTACACCTGGGTATTATTACTTATCTTACCCATGTGTATATCTTTTTAATGAGGCAAACTAGCAAAAAACCACATAGAGAAGAAGTGGTTCCTTATATTACAAACAGAAATCACAAACAGACACACACACGTGCATGCATGCATCTTTTTAATGAGACAAGCTAGCGAAAAACCACATAGAAAAGAAATGGTTCATTATATAACAACATCTAGTACATAGAAAAGCCAATGATTTTGATAACATTACATTCCAACAATGGCTTTTATGTCATATCAGTTAGCAACAAAAGTATAACTTAATATTGCTGTTAGTTTATGTACTGAAAGTATAAAATGTATAAACTACAAAACTGGAAATATATTTGTTGATTTCTTAATTTACAGTTTCTGTTGATTAAAGAGGTCTGTTTTATCAAAAATGTTGGTGATATAACAGAAAATACTTTAATTCAGAAACGATTTAAAGTTTAAAATCAAGCATGACGTAGACCCACACTGGCTTTTATATAGGTTACAGAACATGATGTATAGTGGCATCTATAATTATTTAAAACATAGTCAACTTGAATATATCAATCAAATAACCCGAGGAAACACCTGAAAACTTACCTGCATTAATGAGATTAGCACTCTTGAACTCCACCAGAGGGTGTTCAAACAATTCCTAAAATAAGCAAATATTCATAAGAAAATCAAAATACATGACAGTATTATTGTAGATTCTTTTTCTAACATTCCTGTTTGAAATAACAGATTTTCTGGCCTACTTTTAAGAATGTTTGAGACTGAAAGCACTTGAAAGAAGCATGTTTAGATTCTGAACTAAACATATATCAAATAAAGTAACCTGTAAGTTCACTGGGAAGATAGCTAGCTTATATGTTGCTAAAATAAAAAATGGACACATATGGGTGATGTATTTTGTTCAAGAGTATTTTAATTTTCAAAAAAATGTACATATATCTGATGTATTATGACTGCTAAATAAATACCAATACAATGTTTGTTTTTTTTTCCAAAACCATTTCGACTAGTATGCATTTCAAACAGTTTTTATTTTTATGTTAGTAACATTCTGACATAACACATACTTCAGATTACTTTACACGACATACATGTATTTCATCAGCATCAAAGTAGAACATAAAACAAAAACAAACATTTGATAGCCTCTCTCTATAGACATTTTATAAAGAATTCCAAAGCAAACATTTTTCAATTTTCATAAGACTTAACAAATCTTGTACATGAAGGCAAGTGTGAGTAAAACATCCAAACAACACTTTTGGTAATTCTTAAAAGTTCATCCTTAACTCTCTCATCATGGGCATGATCAATTTGACCAATCATATGTACTCATTTAAAGTCTTTATAGATTTAATACTTCTAACTTTCAGTATAGTGTGTATATCTTCACAAAATTTGGCAGTGTTTCAGTTAATAATACAAGTTTTTCACATACAAAAAAAATCATATTTTTAGTGAAGTATTTTTAACAAAATAAAATAAAGATTTATCTAAGAATATATTGAATATTTGTTTTGAATAGTCCGTGTGCAAAGCAATTTTTGTTAAAATTAAAAATACTTTTCCTCATCTCAAGAATCTCAAATTTCCTTTGTGTAATCGCTAAAACCTCCTAAATGCATTTCAAACGTTTTTTTTAGTAAAACTTTACGGTTTATCTGTTATTTTCTCTACTCCGTTTTAAAAC